AGTCTCACTATGCCACTCTCACTACAGCTCACAGGAATTTCAAACTCTTGAGCTCAAGTGATTCTCTTGCCTCAGCCTCCTAAGTAGCTGGGAACACAGGCACCCACCACAAGGCCTGGCTATTTTTTTGTTGCAGTTGTCATTGTTTAGTTGGCCTGGGCTGGATTCAAACCCACCAGCCTAGGTGTATATGGCCGATGCTGTAACCACTGTACTATGGGTACTGTACCCTTTTTTTTTTCTTTTTATTTGAGACAGAGTCTCATTCTGTTGCTCAGGCTAGAGTGTCATGGCCTCAGCCTAGCTCATAGTAACCTCAAACTCTTAGGATCAAGCAATCCTTCTGCCTCAGGATCCTGAGTAGCTGGGACTACAGGTGGCTGCCATACACCAGGCTAATTTTTTCTATTTTTATTCTTCTAATTTTAATTTAATTTAATTTTGAGACAGAGTTTCACTTTGTCTTGATCGGTAGAGTGCCATAGCATCACAGCTAACAGCAATCTCCAGCTCTTGGGCTTAGACAATTCTCTTGCCTCAGCCTCACTAGTAGCTGGGACTACAGGCGCCTGCCACAACACCTGGCTATTTTTTTGTTGAAGTTTGGCTGGGGCTGGGTTTGAACCCGCCACCCTTGGTATATTGGGCTGATACTGGAATTTTGCTCTTCAGTAGGTTCTTGGTCTCGGTGATTCGAAGAATGAATCCGCAGACCACAGATCAGTGGTAAGACAGGATTTATTTACAGAAAAGAATACAGAAGTGCCAGAGCTCCTGGCAGAGAGAGAAAACTGGAGTTAGGAGAGAAAAGTGCTCTCTCTCCCTGTCTGTCTGTCTGTCTGTCAGCTCTTTGTCTAGGGGTATATATAGTGGCATGGGGCCCTTGATAGTTACATTTAGTGGGGATAGGTAGTTACATTTAGCTTGTCTGGGACAAGTCTGGGACATTGTGTTTGGGGCATGTCTGGCCCTTGGTAGTTACATTTAGCAAGAGTAGGTAGTTACATTTAGTGGGTCTGGGACATCTGTCTGGGAAATGTCTGGAACATGTCTGGGTTGCAGATGAATGGCTACAATTCCTTTTATTCCCAGGCCTAGGAAACGGTGACCCCCTGCCCACCCTCCAGCCTGCTGGTTCTGCTGCTTGCTGCTATTGCACCAACACTGCCAAGGTGGAGGCAGCCGGTCCATGCTCCCCAGCTCCACAAGCTGGCTGGGATACCACTTATCCTGCATCAGGGCCAGCACCCTACTCACTGAGCCACAGGTTCCACCCATTTTTTCTGTTTTTAGTAGAGACAGGGTCTCTCCTTTGCTCATGTTGGTCTCAAACTTCTGAGTTCAAGGTGTCCTCTTACCTCAGGCTCCAAGGGTGCTACGATTATAGGCATGAGCTATTATGCTTGGCCATTAATTTGCAGTTTTCTAATGACATATGATATTGAGCATCTTCTCATATGGTTATTTGCCATCTGTGTCTTCTCTGGTGAGATGTGTTTTCAGATCTTTTGCCCATTGTTAGATCAGGTTGTTCATTTTCTTTTGAGTATTAATGGTTTTGGTGTGTTTTAGATAACATTATTCTATCAGCTATGTCTTTTGCAAATCTTTTCTCCTAGGCTTTGGCTTTTTTTCTCACTCTCTTGATTTTGTCTTTCACAAGTTGAGGAAGTCCCCATCCATCTTCTCCAGGTTTAGTGAGTCTTCATCGTGAATGGGTTTTAGATTTTTGTCAAGTGGTTTTTGTGCATCTGTTGATATACTCTAAGGGGCAACACCTGAAGAAGCTTCATGGCTTCTTTTAACTTCATACAGTAAAATAAAAAGAGAGAAATGATTTAAAAGTAGAATTTACAGTCAAAAGTCAAACAGTGTAAAGATTTTGAAAAGTCTTCAACCCCAGAACTGTGGACCTACCAGTGTGTAATACCTCCAGCCTGGGAGAGCTTCAGGTATGAGATTTCAATGGGTGGAGCTCCTTGAGGACCCAACCCAGGCCCCAGTTTGTCCAAAAGTTGGCACATGGAGACATAGTATTCTGAGTGTTAGGATTTAAGATTTGTTTACCCTGTTGGGTTTTGGACCTATTTGGGACCAGATATCCTTTTTTCTTGCCTATTTTTTCTCCTTTTAGCAATGGAAATATCTATCCTAATGCCTGTCCCACCATCATATTTTGTCCCACCATTGAAGTAAATAACTTGTTTGATTTCACAGGCTTACAGCTGGAGAGGAGGTTTAGATTTAGATGAGACTGAGGGCTTGTGCTAACATCAACTCAAAAATTCAAGTTAGAACTTTTGGGGTTACTGGGATGGAGTGAATGTACTTTGCATGTGAGATGTACATGAATTTTGGGGGCAAGGGACAGAATGCTCATATTTTGGAAACTTGATGCCCAATGCAGAGCTACTGGAAGGTGGGACTTCTTAGAGATGTTTAGGTCATGAAGACCTCATGAATGGATTAATGCCATATTGTAGGAGTGTGTTTATTGTTGTGGGAGTGGGTTCCTTACAAAAAGACAGGTGTGGTCTTTTCTATCTCTCTCTTCTCTGTGTGATGCCTCCCATCATATTATGATATAGTAAGAAGGCCCTCACCATATGCCAGCTCCTTGATCTTGGACTTCCCACCTCAAGAACTATAGGAAATAAATTGCTATTCTCAGAAATACTCAGTCTGTGGTGTTTTGTTCCGGCAGCACAAAACAGACTAAGATAAGCAGTTACTTTAGAAAGCATGCCGTTATTGATATAGACTTTCTCAACCCTTTGAGGTGTAAATCTTCTATCATCCAGACTTCTCAAGGACTTGAAAGTCTCTTTTTGGAAAATGGAAGAGGACTTAACTCTCACTCTCAGTCAATGGGTACCCTGCTTTGACTTATGTTTCTGCATCGTGTCATAGGATATTCCTCCTCTAGATAAAGGCCACAAACCCAGGTGGCTGGATCACATTAACCAATTGCTTCCCATTTTTTGTAAATTTTTCATTTCCCCAACTCTGTTTAAGTTCTGTTCTCCCTCCCTCTTCCCTCATTTTCCCTTTAAAACACCCAGTCACCTCTGCACAAACTATTGCACCTCTTCCCTATGCAATAATTTTTTTTTTGGTTTGTTTTTTTATTGAGATGGAATCTCACTTTGTCACCCTCTGTAGAGTGCTGTGGCTTCATAGCTCATAGCAACCTCAAACTCTTGAGCTCAAGCGATCCTCTTGCCTCAGCCTCCCTAGTAGCTGGGACTACAGGTGCCCACCACAATGCCTGGCTATTTTTTGTTTGTTTGTTTAGCAGACCTGGGCCAAGTTTGAACCTTGAACCCACCAGCCCTGGTGCATATGGCCAGGTCCCTAACCACCTGCAATAGTTATTAATAAATTTATCCTTACTGCTTTAGTATCTTGGGTGGTTCCCCATGTATGCCTTTTTTCTGTATATAGATCTTTTAAATTTCAATACATTTTTCATGGTCACAAAAGAACTCTGACTGAAATTCTACAGATCTAAAAAGCCAAAGCCGTAGTTTTTCACCCCTCCATAGCAGCCTTAGCCTTAAAGACACAACAGAGTCTTAACGAATGGGATGAGAATGTAATAAAAATAACTTCAGGACTACTGGCACGAACTGGAAAATCACTAGGCTGATACTCTGGGATCATGCATCTCTGTCCTTGACTGTTTGCTTGCTGTCTGGTAGGAAGGTTCATTCTTCTCTTCCTCTCACCTCATCCTCCTCCCCAAGGTTCTCTTAAGACGATGGTGAGCAGCTATAACTCTCGGAAAGGTTATCATAACAGCTTACTTTCATGTGGATTTACAAACCCACTGAGGAGGAAGGATGAGAGAAATCCATAATCAAACAACTTGTGTTGAAAAGTTTGAAATTTTAACTCCTCTAGAGATTGAAAAAATAATTTTCCCGCTACCCTTAGTTCTTAGCTGGGATGGACCCCTGTAACAAAAGACAGATTAACAAGAGAAAAACAAACAGTCTATATTTTATATCATGGAAGATATCCAGGGAAGGAGTAATTCTCAAAGAGATGACCTAGAACTCTGGCTGATGGAGCATCTTCAACCCAGAACAATACATTTCTGGAGAAGTGACAAGACAAGGGAAAAAGACCTTTAATCTCTAAATTTGTGGGAAGGCAATAAGCTAGTTAATGGTAGATAAAAGCAAGTGAAGTTTGTTATGTATTATGGTGTCATCTCCAGGCTGACAGGGGGCTGGTGATCAACCTTTGTTGTTTCTGGTGGGGAGGCCTTTGTAAATTTGCATCCTGCTTTTTTATCTGCTTCTTCTCAGTTGTTTTCAGCGCTAAATAATCCTTATGCCAGATTGGCATATTTTTGGTGGCATATTCTGATCACCTACATAACCTCCACCTACTTTTTTTTTTCTAAAACAAATGTGTGAATAAACTGCTTTTTAAATTTACCCTTTTGTTGTTTATTATGACTTTCCTTGTTGGAAAGAACATACATTTGAACTGCTTTTCAATTGTATGTTATACAGTTGTTTTGTACCAGTTTCCTTCCTCTGTGGATTCTAAAATAATTTTTGGAAAAAAAAATGGGAGTAAGGAGAGGGATCTTAGGTTGAACATATAAAAGGGAATCCATAAACTAATGTGTTACAAGCTAAGGTCAGGCTTTCACCTGCATTCTGGTAGATGGATAGTCCTCTTTTTTCTCTATGCATATTGTCAAAGAAACAGTAAAAGTCACATTATAGAAGAAGAAAAACAAAACAAAAAAATAATGAATTTTAAACCTGCTACCTGGTAAGCCAACATTACAGATTGTCTTTATGTGAGCAAACCTAATGGAGTTACCTGAAATAGGAACGAAGGCCAATTCCAAATGCTTCCCTATGGGTCGGGAGTGCACGGTGGCCAGTCTTGGGGAACCCAGATTTGCTTCCCTGAATTTACATCCTTCCCTGTAAAAGCAATGTGTGACCACCTTATGTTTCGTTTGTGTCTTTTCTCAGAAAACTCGACTAATGAACATGCTGTTGAAATGGAAAATGTGAAATCCTTGGTTCATAGTCTGTTTACAGTCTTGCATTTAGAAGAGTCTCAGAAAAAGAGAGAGCATGATTTACTGAAGAAAATTGATCACCTGAAGGGACAGTTGCAGCCCCTTGAACAGGTTAGGAAGCATCATAGTTGAGTCTGTTTGAAAATAATAACTAGTATTTATTGAGTTCTCCTCACATGAACATTTTTCTGAATGTTTTATATGTTTATTTCCTCCTTTAATCCTCAAAAAAAAAATCTATGTAATCTATGAGTTCAGTACAATTATTGTCTCATTTTTTTATATAAGTAAACTGAACAACAAAAATCGATAGTTAATATATGGTCGATACCCTGAACTTGAACTCAGATGGTCTGACTCCAGAGCTGCCATCTTAAATTCTGTGTTATACATCTTCTCCATGAATCAGTTATAATGTGTCTGTAAGTAACTTTAGAACTAGATGGGATTCAACACCTGGAGTTCTATCTCAGTTTCTTTTCTAGAGAATATGTCCAGGGACCCTGCTGTGTTTAACAGAATGGTTGGTAGTGGCTTTTTAACACCTAAAGTTAAGCAATGGTATAAAAAATAACTTGAGTGGGGCTGGGTGAATCTGTTTGTTTTAAGGGAAGAAATCCATTCTTTAATCCGATAATTCCATTAGTGACAGAAGGTTTATGTGTATCTTTGAAAATGAACAGAAAGTTTTAATAGTGATTACCTCTGAGGGTATTTGGAGGATGACAGAGGGACTTTTTGGTTTTGTTTTTAGTTTGTTTACCATTTTAATTTTTTCTATACTTCAAAAAATTTCCACATATTTACTTGGATTCAAATTTTAAAATCTAAAAAGTTTTCCTGCCAACCTTTCCTCCAAGTTACTATATCTCCCATACCTATAAATCATTTCAGACTTTCTTTATCTGTGTACAGATACAAATATATTCTGTATTTTGTACATATATTTTGTTCACTTTCTTAGAAAAGGAAGCACACTATTATGCATGTACTGTTCTTTTTTTTTTCTTTTTTTTGAGACAGAGCCTCAAGCTGTCCCCCTGGGTAGAGTGCCGTGGCATTACAGCTCACAGCAACCTCCAACTCCTGGGCTCAAGCGAGTCTCCTGCCTCCGCCTCCCAAGTAGCTGGGACCACAGGCGCCCGCCACAACACCTGGCTCTTTTTTTGGTTGCAGCCATCATTGTTGTTTGGCGGGCCCAGGCTGGATTCAAACCCGCCACCTTAGGTGTATGTGGCTGGTACCTTAGCCACTTGACCCACAGGTACCGAGCTAGCATGTACTGTTCTTATCTTTTTTCACTAATAGTGTATCATGGAAACCTCTCTATATGGCTACAGAGAGCTTCCTCATTGCAGTTACATAATTTCTTGAGGGGCAGGATATCTATAATATCTTGATGGATTATTTTGGTCTTTTGCTATTAAGAATTAATCTGTAATGAATCGTATGTGGAAGTGAACTTGTAGGATGAATTCCTAGAAGTGGAATTGTTAGCTCAAAAAAACAGGCCTCTAATTTTAGTTAGATTTCAGAGGGTGACTTCTGACATTTTCATTGTATACCTTTTTTTTTTTATTGAGACAGAGTCTCAATGTTGCCCCATGCTAGAGTGTTGTGGGTGTCATAGCTCACAGCAACCCCAAACTCCTGGGGTCAAACAATCCTCTTGGCCTCATCCTCCTGAGTAGCTGGGACTATAGGCAACTGTCACAATTTCTGGTTCATTTGCTGTTTTTAGTAGAGACAGGGGTCTCATTCTTGCTCAGGCTGGTCTCAAACTCCTGAGTTCAAGCGATCCTCCTGCCTCAGCCTCCCAGAGTGCTAGGAATACAGGTGGGAGCCAGCAAGCCCAGCCTCATTGTATACCTTTTTATACTACTTACTTCGCCCCCCCCCCATAGGCAGTTGGTATCTTTATAATTTTAAAAAGATTTATTATTGAGATGATTTGGAAACAAGTAATTACTCATTAATATCTGTTTTATAAATTGTTATTGACATATATCAGACCTCTTCGAAGTAATGCACACCTGTTCATATGTTCCTTTTCTTCTTGCTTTTTTCCCCTTGAAGTTAATGTCCTTGTAAATTGAATTTACAGTTTTTCATTCCCCCTCAGGTGAAAGCTAGAATCGAAGCTCGCTCAGAAATCAAAACTAGCGGACTCCTGTGGGCTGGATTAGCACTGCTGTCCGTTCAGGGTGGGGCACTGGCCTGGTTCACTTGGTGGGTGTACTCCTGGGATATCATGGAACCTGTCACATACTTCATCACATTCGCAAATTCCATGGCCTTTTTTGCCTACTTTTTAGTCACTCGACAGGTGAGTCATTTGTTAGAAAATGGTAATTTAAAACATCTTTGCAAAGAATTCTTTAACCAAGGCATGCAATGAGCAATAAAGCCTTTTAATTTACTGAGTTACCACCATCTGGGTTTTTATAAGCTGGTAAATTTTTTATTATTTTCACAAAGCTGGATGGAGACTTAACATACAACACAGAGGAATTATATGTAGCCTCTATAAGGAAATAATTAATATAATCCACAAATTCCTCCATTAGGATAAAAGTCAAATTTATGTTCTACATGCCTTCATTTATAAAGAAAACTAAAACTGTATTGCAAAACACCCCATAACTTAAGCCTTTTCTCATGGTTGTTTTGCCCCAAATCTCCCTTTTCCTTTCCCCCCCTTTTCCCCAATGTGTATAATTTATCTTCCCAGCCTCCTTGCTTTTGAAAGGAGCAACAAATCTCAAATGAGACTATTTAACTTATGTTGGCTTATGCTTGCTCTGATGGCCACTGCAAATACTTTATTAATTCATCTGCCTGTTTTTGCTTTGATGTTGCTAAAGCAAGTATTTTTCCTGCAGAGGGATTATGTTCACTCAAAATTTACATGCTTTTCTTTTTTCCCCTAAAGGATTATAGTTACTCAGCAGCTAAGAGGAGGCAGATTCTTCAGTTCTTCCACAAGAGATCAAAGCAACAGCATTTTGATGTGGAACAATATAACAAGTTAAAAGAAGACCTTACTAAGGTATCTTAGTTTTGCCCCAAATCTCCTTTTTCCTTTTCCCCCGAGCTAGCTCTATGTCCTATAGCTGGTTTTGTTTGGAAGACAGAACTGAGTGTCAGGGAAATACAACTGGTGGCTCATCCTCACAGGTTAAATCTTAGCCCTAGCTAAATTTCTGTGTCTTGTGAGACTGGTGAAATAGTTGACATGTCTGATATTAATTTCATATCCTATAGTTTTATTCTTATTTTCTGTATTCTTCATGGGGATAGCTTTAAATATATCTGAAGATGTCTTAAATAACTCTGACATAGTAAAATAAAAGTTTTCACTAAAAATCTATTTCTAAGCAAAAAATAGAATTTGAAGAAGATGAACATAGTGGCAAGGAATTTAAAACTGTAAAGAGATGTATAAGTTTCTTTCCTTTAAAGATAGAAGAATCATGGCATTCCTCCTTGCCTCTTTTCCCCTTCTTTCAGATAAGGAAACAGGGTCACTAAGGTAAATACTGCTAGAAAGTGAGGGAACCATGGTACGAACCCTAAAATTTGACTTAGGAGCCTATCAATACTTTAACATACTTTATCACAATTTGTTTCTTAGGCAGCATTTATCTCTGGTCTCCCAGTTTACTAATTAACTTTGTTCAGATGGTGACTTCTCAGTGCATACATGGATTTTTTAATTTTTCATAGTAATTTTATAATAAAAAGATTATGGTAAAAAATATCTTTTGTTAGCTATACTTTCTAAACTGATCACCCACAAAA